GCTGAACCGTTATTAATGTCCCTTTGTTTTAGTCGTCTTCCACACATACACATCTATATGCATGTATACATGCATCGCTTTCACTCTGCCATCACTACGCCATCAGAAGTATCAAAAATGTATTTAGCCTCTCTTCTCTAGAATTTTCTTTCCACCGTCTTTATCGTTTTTATCCTCCACATTCTTCCCTCAATTCCTCTGCTGCTGCAGTGAGAGAGAGAGAGAAAGCGAATCCACATAAGGTTATACACAGTGGTGTGACGCCATGCATTCTGATTTATAGATCTAAAATGGCTGCCGTGTTGTGACTGCTGTAGAGGGCTAGATGCAAAGCGAGGGAGTGGTGCGGGGGTGATGTTTGCTCAGAATAGCAGGTCTTTTCTTGGACATTGTGTTCTCCTTTCATGAAGTGCCCTCTGCCCTGTAGGGTTCACTACTACTGTGGTTTGGTGGTGATGACTGATTAATTAGGCCATGATGTACAAAGCTTCCATGCTTGTGGCGGCTGATTTACTACAGTGCTGTTGAATATAAGCAGGGGAATGGTCTGTGTTCTGTGCTGAGAGCTGCGTTGTGCTGTAGTTTGGTTTATGGGCACTGGGTCCTTCCTGCAGGATGATTCGAGCCCTCACATTGTAGCAGCCGCCACTGAGGACTTAGAGGTCAGCTGCTGCCTCAGCCTCTCTGTGGGGCGCAGAGCTTTGACTTACCGACTCCACTGCATCACCTCCAGCACAGCACACACAGAGCTAGTATCACACTGCCTCCATGTGGACAAAGTCACACACTACCCTGCTTCCCTTATTACTTCTTATGAATTAGTGGTGATACAGTTTTAAATAGTTTGCTCTGTCTGGGCACAGTAATTGATTAGTTATGTGTTTGTTATTCTCTTTGTTCCAGCAACAGAAAAATGTCTAGCAAGACTGATTATATCTCATCTCTGGTATGAATTTTGCTCGGTTTGATTTTTTTTTTTTTTTTTTTTTGGACCAGGAAACGGCACAATCCTCTTTCCAGCAACAGCAAAATGTCTAGCAAGACTGATTATATCTCATCTCTGGTATGAATTTTGCTCGGTTTGATTATTATTATTATTTTATTTTTTTTAGGACCAGGAAACGGCACAATCCTCTTTATGAACTTCAGCATGAAATATACCAAATTGGAATTTTCACAATAAATGGTTATATAGGCAGACAGGTGACAAAACAAAAGGAAAAACCTTAATAAGTGAGTGGAGATTTTGAATTAATGTGTAATGAAACACACCATATCCACCTTCATCAACACCAAATGAGGGTATGTCCTTTGGAAGAATAGTGTTCATCCCTTCAATAGAATGCCTCTGACATTCTGTTCTGGAGGCACATTGTGACCCGGTTCCTTAGTAAGAAACTTTTATTTTTACATGTTCCTCTCTAATTTGTCACTTATCGCTATACGCTTTCCCTTAAAGCTTCAATAGAAAAGAAGATAATGTTGCACATGTCTTTCGAGAAGCTTAACGAGACGTCTTGATACTTATTTCTTGCCTTGAAAACTTGTCCCTGTTGAATCCATTGTAACCGCAATGAACTCAAACTGACCATGGCCTCCATGAAGGAGCAAGCTACAGGGAATTGTTGAGTTGTATCACCTTGAGAAGAATGAGGTCCTCCGCCCTTAACTGCCCATATCCATGACAGCACCAGTACCAGAGAGACAGGACGTATGCAGAAGCTGATAAGAACAGATTGAGCCTGGGTTGAACACATTCAGCTTGTGTTTCATGGCGCTTGCTGAACCTTGCCAACTGACGCCCCCGCAAAGCAAAGCTCCTCGGTGCTGCAAACTGTTCTGAGGTGTAGCACGCTACATGCAAGCTACTTGTTGCCCACAGACAACCCCAGTGCACTTCGAACTTGTTGTTTTGCTAGCTCTCGGGAACACTGATCTAGAGAGGACTGAGTGCTTGTATTATTAGATAGAGAAAATCATTCGGCACAGCAGGGATGCCTTTGATACATCGGTCAGAGGTGTTTAGTGTATGAGTGCATGTCTGTGTGAGTGTATGTGATTTTTTGGCGTGTTTAGTAAAGTGTAAGTGTGAAAGTGTCTCAAAGAAAGCGGATACTCTTTGATGCTTTGTCCCACAGACAGCCACAGAGGCAAGCTGCACTAGACAAAAGAAAAAGACGTTCCTTTCTTCTGTCACTCAGTCATTCTACTTTCTAGCTGTATTAGTGAGAGGTACTGAAACGTCACATCCAATACCCTACAGAATAAAACAACCATTTAAGAGGGGTGCTCATTCTGAGGACGTTACAGCAATCTGAGAAAGTAAAGCTAAATCTGTGTCATGACTTTGCTGGTGGAAACAGGCTGTGGATTCTTGAACACATTCGGAATAGTTTACACACTGAATGGTACTTATGCTGTTGCTCTTTCATTCATATAAACATCCATAATTTAGAATAACTGCATTGTAATTATTTTGATATATGTCTGCACTTTTGCCCCTAGAAGCTGGATAAAAAAGGCTATGACCCCATCACCACAGAGATCCTGGAGGGGCAGCAGTTCTACTACGCTGAGGACTATCACCAGCAGTACTTGAAGAAGGTGCCTAACGGCTACTGTGGGCTCAAAGGCACCGGGGTCTCTTGTCCTATTGGAGCCAGGAAGGATGAACTGTGAGGGATGTGTAGTGGGAAAGAAAAAGATCAGGTGATGAATGATGATATTTGTACCTACTATTGTTGTCATTTTCTGCTCTTTATCTTTTATTTTTAAAATGTTTGAATACAGTATTTTTAACATGACGTACTAGTCAGATCACATATTCATCACTGAACCTCAGGGAATTTTCTGCTCAAAGCTTAGAAATCCTATCCTCAAATAAGTTCAATGAAAAATATTAGAAATAAACTTGAAGCTACTGTAAGTGCAGCTGTAGCAGTCTGTTGATCTGCAGCAACAGTCAGCCTCCACAGGGTGGCGACATTTCTCACAAAACATAGCTCTAGCAGGTGTTTTTTTTTTATGTAGCCTAATGTAGCAAAGAAATCATGCAAGATTTTTTGGTACAGTTGGTTTATTTGGAAGAAAATCTACCAGACGTAATGGTTTACAAGCCAGTAACCTTTTCACATTTGTCTTAAAGCCAGAACATTATGCTAAAGCTCAGACTATGCTGCCAGAATAAGAATAATTCAGATATATTACATGAAGGTATTAATATAATCAGTAGTTTAGAAAAAGGCAAACACGCTAACACCATCTTAAATTTGACCTTTTAATTTCATTGTTAACTGATGTGCATCAACTTTCCTCAGTTAAGATAAACTGAACACTGCTGTCATTTTCTTATTTCTCACTTTAAAAATAAAATGCTCCCTTTCAGATTTTGTTTACATACCATGTACCGCGTGTGTTCATGCATGCGTCTCCTCATTCAGCTATATATGTTAAAGATAAGCCACTGTTTGGATTGTTTGTCCCCTTTTGAAAAGGGACAAACCAAACCAATGAATGGCAAATGGGTATGACTCACAGACATTCACAGACTACTCATTCTGCATTGCAGAATGAGACACTTGAGGCACTCATGTATGCAATATGATACACACTTTGCTTAAACCCTCACTCCACCCCCACCCCCCCAACCCCATAATTATAAATAAAAGTCCTATTATACACCATATAATTACATATCATAGAGCACTGAGCAAATACTGAATAAGCATTGTGTGTTGTGCTTTTCTAATTAAACACATCAACCTGAAAGTCTATCTAAAATTGAAAACCACACTCATGGTTACAATCCAAAATACAGAGAAAAGCTTTTTGGTCGACCGCAGTTGTGTGATTCACCCTGCTGTCGTTTCCCCCCCTCCCTCTCTGTCTTTCTTTCTCTGTCTGTGTGTATGTGTCACATCCTGACACCTGTGTGTAGGTGTGGACCAGGGCACAGGTGCAGGTGCAACCTCTCGGGGCTTATTTTAGTATTGGGGCAGATATTTTTGCATGTATCTGCATGCAGCAGCCGTGTGTGTTTGTGTGTCGGGGCATGTGAAGCTGTGGCTTGCTTGATCGAACCGCGCTGAGTGGTATGTGGTTGGGCCAGCTAGCTGTTTTCCAACACCCGTCTATATTTTTGCATGCCGTTGTGTTTTGTTGAGTGTGTGAGAGGAGATAACCTTTTAATAAACTGAACATCGTTTCCTGGGCTTTGATTAGAGGATGACATGAAAGCTTGAATCACACAGTGATGTCAGTTTTTCCACCATCTACTTGAACAAGAAGTGCATGATTCTGTTAATTGCTGCCGCATTATATAGAAGGGATTATCACAAACTAAGGTTTTGAGTCAGTTATATGTAGGAAGACACTTGCTGTGAGAAATTACTAAGCTTAATGCAGACATTTAGAAGTAGCCATATGAGTAAGTTTTCTGTGTATTCCTTTGTAATAGATTAAAATGGGGCATGGAAATGCATGGTACTCTCATATACGCATCCATACACAAACGCAGTGAAGCAGAGTAGGACAGGAACCAGGCTGTGTGTGCCCTTCAGACAGCGCCTATTGTCTGCAGATGGGCCTTTAATGACCCCACAGCTGGCCACAAAGAGAATACCGCTTCAGCTTGCTGTTATGCCTCTCACAGGCCTATACTCAGTCACTCTGAAGAGAGGAGACAACTCACAGGCACAACACCATGTTCATGCATTTGATATCTTATTTTATTATCCATTAATATACCCTTTTGAGCATGTTTTTTTTTTACTGTCTAAATCTATAAGCTTATACAGAGAAATCATCACTACATCATCTGAGGAAAGGGTTTGCAAAAACATGTGGTGCTGTGGAAGAGTGGGCTGAAACAAAGAGAGTTGTTTATCAGAAGTACTCTGCACTCTTACCCACACATGTGCTCACACACAATATAAATACGCGTCCCAACCACTACCTCTAACTTCGTCCTGTACTGACGCCTAATGCAAAAGGCAGGCGCCCACGCAAAAGAAAGAAACACACCAAAAAGACACCTTGCAGAGAGATGCACCCACACAAATTTCTTGCACTGTGATGTGTTCTCTATTGTGTCCTCCTTTCACAGCTTTTCATTTATCTTCCCCATGACAGCTTCAATAGTTCTTACCATTTGTATATATAGTATAGATATATCATTGAAAGTAGCATTGTTTTATGCCTTATTTCCTCTCTCGATGCCACCATAGGCAGCAAAATAATTTGTTTTTGTAGGACACCAACACAGTTGTATAAATAGAACAATAGCCGTGTGGCACATTCTGCTGCTGTGCTACCAGCTGTAGAACTGCTTTGCCTTCTTGTCCTGCATCCTGATATAATGACTTTTTTTTAGATTGTTGTGGTGGTAGGCACGCAGTTGGAGTGTTGGCGTGTGTGGCCATGCATATATTCTGCAGAGGTAAACCAGAACTAGCATTTTTCTATATGTCCTGTGCATTTCTCTCATGATGGCATGAGTGAGTGTGCAAGGTTTTGCTGATCCCAGATGTGTTTGTGTCCTCTCCCGTGCTCTCCCTTCCCCTCCCTCTGGTTCCTGCATGGGCGCAGGGTCTCAATCAGAGCATCAGGGCTCCAGGAACTGGAGCACAGCAGTCTCTCTGTGCTGCCCAGAGAAGTGCAGCCTTGTCTGGGTCAGTGCATCTGTGGCCTGGGGGAAGAGGGTGAACCCTAGTGCCCCTGCATGCTGGTTTCATTCGAGGTCTTCTCCACTGGTGCAGCCTGACCCCTGAACTCAAGTTTATTCCAAATACTTTAAATCTGCACGTAGCTAGAAAAGCTCCTGTGTCTCAGTCATATGAAGACTGATGACATGTTAAAACATTTCGACAAACTGTGTCCTCAAACAGGTTAGTTTGGTATAGCAAAACCCTCATATAACCATGAAAACAAAAAGAAGGACAAGCTCACACACGCTCACACACACAGTTCTTTCCAGTAGAGAAGCTATCACAAGCCTCTTCTACCTTTCTAATGGGAATAGTGGTAGGTTAAGGGTGGGGGGTGGAGGGCAGCACGTGCTGCAGTGCCTAGTTGGCTTGCTAACTGGCCCAGTGGCTTTTTTGGCTGACAGCCCACACTGTGACACTCTGCACCTGGAAGCCTGTGTGTTGTCAGCCATGCTAGCTAGCACAAGCTACCACCACATGATACACAGGAAACACAGAAATAACTGCTGAGTGTCTTCAGCACAGTAACCACTTACTGGGGGTGTGCTGCTGACAGAAAGGGGTTGAGGAGATGCGTTAAAGGAAAGTAGAAAACAGGGGAATACTGGTCTGAATGGCTCTGGGTGCTGGTATTACAGAGGAGGAAAAGAAAACTGGACTAGAAAGTGAAATGCAAAGATTCTCAGGCAGTTGCACCTGTGCAGTCTTGTGTTACAGGAAGATTCCACCAGCCTTCGTTAAGTCACTATGTTCAACTATATGGTGCATTTACATATAAACTGGCATGCATGTATCCTGTTGATCATGTCGTTTTTATAATCAAACCACTACAAAGATGATTGTGTAACTGTTTGACATTTTACAGCTGAGCTGCTGATGTAATAGTTCAATTTCTGAAAAACCTCTTTCTCTCTTATGTTCAGTTTCTGGCTTTATCTGCTCTGTCCATCTGAACCTCACCTCACACAGGTGTCAGAGTGGAGTCAAGTTTGAATGCTACCGAGAAGCCCTCGATTAGAACTGAACACAGGAAAGTGTTGTGCAACATTTTGGGCTTTTTAGGTGGTGATGTGCTGATGTGTCACCATTTTGAGGAAAGAGGGCAGAAATAGGACACACACACACACACACACACACATATACTGCTTGTACTGCATCATGCACAAACTGTTTTCTGTATGTCTGCCACAGCCAGCTAATTTATGCCAACGGTGCAGATTGAATCTTGGGTTTCTGATAAGAGCCATCATGAGATGGTGGTGGAATTGGCTATCTCTGACTGAATATGTGTTTGTTTTTCTGTGTTGGAGAGCGAGAAAGAAAAGGAAGAGAAGAAATAGATGTGAAGGAAATGAGTAGATGGAGGGAGAGAAAAAGAGAAGGGAGGAGAAATCATGCTGGCTGCACCAGGAGGAAGCTGGGTCTGATGCTTCTCCATGCAGCTGCTCCCAAACACCCACACTCTTCCTGTTGGAGTGTGCATGTGTGTTTACTTTTTGTGTATAGATTTACATAAAAGGCCATGTTATGCCAGCGGTTATGCTCTTCATTAAACATTTTTGAGGATTCAGAAATTAAATGGATTTTTAAACCTTGCATCTTAAAGACAGATCGTGTTATTTGCAATCAAAGAGAAAACTGGTTTAGAACAAAAGGAGTTCAGTGGCACATGATGAAAGTTACTGAAAAGTAGGACTTCAGGTACCTTACAGGAGGCGCAATGTGAAAGAGCTGCCTGACTGAGGCCCTCTCTGTCTTTTCAAAGAAACACTGGCCTCAAAAAACATCCGCTGGTGGAAACACTGGCCTGGCAGCCAGTGAATGGAAAGGTTTGAGGTAAGAGTGTGGCCACACTGAGGTGTGTCAGCAGGGTGTACAACTGTGTGGTAATATGTTTGATGGTCTTTTTAAGTTTCCATCACAACGACAGACAAGACAAAAGGGCTTTTTCATAAGCCATACTGCTGTTGCAACTGCAACTGTTGTGACTAGTGGGTTTACTGCATCTCTCTGTTCAGGTTGACCTCTGACATGAATGTCTTCTACAGATTGCACCACTACAATTGTTAGCCTAAATTCCATTCAGTAACATGCACTGAGTGAGCAAATATACACGCTTTCAGTTTCATAATATTTGCTTCTATTTCAAATCCTAGAAATTGCTTTCCATGAAAAAACAAGCAATTACATAATAATAATGTTAACAGCAATTTGACAGAATTTTCAGCAAAATCAATAGAAATTGTGCTGTTGTAATAGTATCAACCGGTAAATTTAATTGGCATTGATATATTGATGTAAGTATCATTTTAAAATGAAAACAACACATTACTGGCTATTAGAGAAGACTTTGCCATCCCATCAGCTTAAAATCAACAAATTTAACTAAATACACATTTGCCATTAAGATAACGTTGTCAACTCAGCTGTTAATACATATCTAAATACAAATTGGCAGCAAGATTAAAGTACAAACTAACATAAAATACAGATTATACAGATCCATACAAGTCTCTAGTTTAAGTACTCTATTTTTATTCCTATTTATCTCCTTTCACAAAGAGCATTCCCTTGTCTGCATTGTTTACTGCCTGTTTATACCTCTTATTTTGCATTGTTTGCACTGTTTGTTGCTTGTTAATACTGTTTATTTTATTATATTACACAGCCTTATGTTGGCTTACTGTTTACTTGCCCCTTGCATGGGGATATGTACGTGCACATTGAGAGCCAATGCACCAGAGTCAAATTCCTTGTGTGTCTGACACACCTGGCCAATAAAGCAGATTCTGATTCTGATTCTGAAAATGTCTTAATAAGGTGGCCACCAGAACAGCTTCAGTGCAGCTTGGCATTGATTCTACAAGTTTTTGAACTGGGGATGAACACATTCTTCCAAAAGCTTTTCCCTCAGTTGGTGTGTTGATGGTGGTGGAGACACTGGCTAATATGTCAGCTGGGTTGAGATCTGGTGGCTGTGAAGGCCATAGCGTGTGATTCACATCATTTTCATACCCAGCAAACCATTTGAGGAGCTGTTGTGCCCTAGGCACTGTCATCCTGGAAGAGACAACTCGTTTATTCAGGTTTTCCCTCTAATTTGTCTCCCATTTGCATATATACCATAGCCAAAATGTCAACTGAGCAAATGTTGCTCATCATCACAAGAGGCTGCGGCCCATCAAAGCCAAAGCTACTCAGCACAAGAACAGTTTCTTTCCAGTATCAGCTGCCCTCACAGACAAGGCCCATCTCACCTCCACATGGTCATTACATGCGATATGTTACATTAACGCAACCTGATGCACACTTTGCACAGTGTATACATATCTCAGTCAACGTGTTTCAGCCCCTTTCCTAACTTAACATATTTATCTATTTAGCACAGGTTTATTTTTAAAAGATCGTAATTTTCACATTTATCATTATTCTTTTGTACTTGTTGTAGTAATTGTATTTTTAGTAGTAATTTGTATTTTTAACCAATTCGAACCACATTACCAAGGCAGATTGCATGTGGAAATGTATTTGGCAGTAAACTTGTTTCTGAATCTGATTCTGATCACTAGACTGGGGGACTGTGATGACAGGAGGCTCCTCCTTTGAATTGTTATTCATATGCTGCTGGTGCTGGGTTCTGAGGCAGGATATAGTGCATCTGCTTCACACTCCATAATGATGGGGGAACAGCACGTGTTCAGCACCAAAACTGTGTGACAGACCATTGGATTATAGTGGAGCCAGTTCAGACTGTATTGCTATTATTGAAGGAAATCAGCGTATTGGCAAATTACAGAACAGGAGTTGCTTCACAATTTTGTGGAGATATTGATAATGGCTGAGCCCTTCTCTGTCAGAGTACCCCAATTCCAAAACAATGTTTAACATTTGAAATAAATGTACAATTTTACACAAGTATGAAGGGTACTGGTAAATATTTGTTGCCAAACAACTGAAGAAAGAAGAAGAAAGAGTAAAAGGTTATTTCACCATTTTATAGACAACTAATCAAGAAAATATCTAGAACACTTGATAATGAAATATTTAGTTTCCACGCTAGATAAAAACAAAAAAAAATTTAACAAGTACTTTTAATTTGCTATTATTATTTGTAAACAAAAAAGAGAGAGCCAATTTAGTACTTTTCTGCGTCTGCATCGGCCGCCATCCTTAAGATGAATTTCTCATAAAATGCTTCAACTTGAGCCACTTAAGGGATGTGAAACACGAATAAGGCGCTCGTAGTCTGTCAGATTTCATATTGCACTAACATTTGGTGGAAAACGTGCCTTCCACCTCTGCATTCTATTCTCCATCCATCCTTCTGCTGTTACTTATC